GACGGCTCCACAGATGCACTGTCTGTCACAGTGACTTCCACCTTAAGCGTCACCTTCTGACCAAGGCCTTCCTCAGCCCTGATACCATACCCACCAGTTCTAGTGCTTTTGTCTGTCTGTTTTGCTTTTTGAGACGGTGTTGCTGTGTAGCCCAGGCTGGTCTTGAACTTTTGATCTTCCTGCCTCAGCCTCCCAAGTGCTGGGTTTATAAGCATGAGGCATTACGCCCACCTCTCCTTGCTTTTCTTGCCTTACCCCATCGCCTAAACACCTCATTCCCTTGCTTGCTTGGTCACTGCCTGACCTCTCTCCTCTAGAACGCAGCTTTGTTATGTACCGGGGCTCCAGTGCCTCGCACGGTGTCTGACATATACTGGGTGTTAATGAACACGGGGAATGAATGCAGAAACAGGGGGGATACAGACAAGCTATCACAACTCCGGTAACTCAGTAGGAACCACTGCTGTCCACAAGGTGCTCCCTGACCAGCCACTGAGGCTGGGATAGCACCTTTGGTGTCTCTGGGCCTTTTCTTTTCATGACTACATTCTACCAAAGCCCTGACAAGCCTTCCACATCTGGGCTAAGCTACTAGCTAAAAATCACAGCATGCAGCTCAGCTGGGTACTCTCCACATACTGGTCGTTACTGCTATCATTATTAGAACCAAATAAACACTACTTGGAGTGGCCAGCTGCAAGGAGGAGCTCTGCACGGGTCTCCAGCCCACTCAGCAAAGGCTAATGGACATTTATGGCAGCGTTAAGGGTTTGGTTTTATTTGTTTGTTTGGATTGGTTTTTCAAGACAGGGTTTCTCTGTGTAATAGCCTGGCTAGACATGCTAGGCAGGGGCTCTACCACTGAGCCACGCCCCCAGCCCCTCACTGGGGGATTCTAGGCAGGGGCTCTATCATAGAGGCATGCTTCTAGGCCCTCAATGAGCTTTCTGTGTGTATGTGTATGTGTGTGTGTAGTATGTGTGAGTGAATTTTGTGTATGTGCATACGCAAGCATATTTGAAGACCCACACTTAGGTCTTTTGTGTTATTGTTGTTTTGGTTTTTTGAGACAGGGTTTCTCATGTAGCCCTAGCTGTCCTGGCACTTGCTCTGTAGACCAGACTGTCCTCGAACTCAGAGAGATCCGCTTGCCTGTACCTCCCAAGGTCTGGGATTAAAGGCATGCGCCATCGTGCCTGGCTACAACTTAGGCCCTAATGCCTGTGCAGCAGGCACTTTGCTGACTGAACTATGTCCCCCACATCCTCTAGGGACCGTTCAATCATACGCCAGTAAAGCAGTTTCTGGTCTAGGATGGAAATGCCAGAGGCCAGCAAGGCTTGTGAAACTGCTGCGTTTGGATGGAGCTACGACTCTACTGGCAAATACTTATGTTCCTGGACAGGAGAAGACCGACTGAGGCAGAAAGTTCTCTCCCTTCGGGGCCTGCAGAGGGGGTGGTGGGAGCAAGACACAGCAGTCAGCCAGCCTCTCTGCTTCGAAGAAGAGAAATGGGCCTAAGGAGAATTTGGTTTTGTGTTGTGTTTTTTTTTTTTAGAAAGAGGCTTACACCATGCAACGCTAGAACTGACAGTAAGCCTCCTGCCTCAGCCTCTAAAAACTAGAATTACAGGCTGTAGCCAGCAGACCTGGCTCTCAAGGGTTTTAAATCTAAGTTTAGAATTAGTGAGTCAGCCCTTTGTCAGTACAGGATCACCTGACGGGGAGAGCCGTGTGGGAGAAAGCAAGCTGGCACCGAGAACAGCCGTCGAACCACGGGGACATTCCTTCCTGATATCACTATGTGAACTCACAGATGCGGCCATTCCCGAACGAGGCCCCAGACCACATAGGTTCTTATTCTTCCTGCTGCTGCTGTTTGGAGACAGGGTCTCATGTAGCCCAGGTTAGCCCACAATCCCCACGTAGCTGAGGACGACTTTGAACTTCAGATCCTCCTACCGCTAGCTCCCAAGTGCTGGGATCACGCATGTCATTTGTCGCCACTGCCATCTGTGTTAGTCCCATGTTGCTGCACCATTTGGCACCCAATGTAGATGGTGGTGACACCACCCTCAGTTTGGGCAGTGAGAGATCAAAGCCAGAGTTCACAAATACTAAGCGAGTACTCCACCAGCTAAGCCACATCCTCAGTCTGTATTGCTTTTGAAGCAGTCTCTCTCTATTGTCCAGGCTGCCCCTGAACTCAAAATCTTCCCTCCTCAGCCTCCTGAATAGCTGTTGTGTGCCACTGTGCCCTATCAGACCTCTCTTCAGACTAAAAGCTACTCTGAGGTGGTTTTTAGCACTTGCAGCCTGCAATCTGTGACTGTCACAGTCAGGGATCCCTGAGGCCCACATCTGGACTCGGCATGACTGCCCAGGGCTCAGCAAGTCTACAAGCTGGATCTCCATTCCAAACCCGACTCACGGCGACATGCTTGGTCCCCTTAGCCCAGCCCTGGCCTTTTGTTCCTGTGGCACCTAATCCAGTAGCTGGATTTTCCAGACCCACCTGGTACTTGTAGCAGTCTCGGCGGTCACTGGGAGAGCTGCCCTGGCAGGTGCCTGTCTCTGTGTTGTTCTGACATGGGCAGCCTGTCCCGTCCTGCTCATTACAGGTGTCAGCATGGCCATTACACTGGCATCTGAGGATGGGAGAGAGGAGGGGTGAGTGCCCGCTAAAGTCCAGCTTCAGCAGGGCTCAGGTCCCAATAAGGAGGTGTGGAGCTGGTGGGGGAAGAAAGGGACACAAGCGCGTCTCAGGTCCAGCAGCTGTCACTCCATCAAGACTCTCTATGTATAAAGCACACTGACTGACAAGTCCCTTGGCAAGCACCCTGGATCTCGTTCTCATTTCCTCCCCACCAAATGTCTCGAGGGAAAAAAACTGTACAAAACCAACAGCCTCATCTGAAACAACATCTTCAGACAGACTCTGTCAAATCCCGATGTTTCTTAGGGTCTGCAAAATACAGACCTTCTATTTTTACAGCCCGTGTCTAGGCTGGCGGCCCACGGGGTTACACTATGTTAGACAGTGTGAAATTGTTTTTACCTTAACCAAGTTACACGTAGAATCATTTGATGTTTTCTAAATTGAAAGCTTTACAAAATTTATCTCACAATTAGCTGATTCTATTGTTCTGTTCCTTTGTTTTATAATAGAGGCCTGTCATTTTCATACATTCCCAGAAAGGAAGATTCTGGTATCTCACTCTTTCCATCAATCCACATTCATTATTCCTGTTCCCTCTAAACAGGCTCCAGGATAGGACAGTGCATGCATCATGCATTTGTGACATCTTATATCCAGAGCAAGAAAACCCCTCAGAATCTCCCTGACTGGTACCACAGTCCTCAGGGGCACAAGGAGGACAGTTCCCTCTGTGACTCTCCTTTCAGGCTATGGCCCCTGTCTTCCAAGTTTCCCTCGGGAACATGAAGACATTTCCCCAGAGGCTGCATGAGCAGAAAATACCCCATTATGCAAACTGCTCCCAAAAGGGAAGCAGAGGCCACACCACAACTGAATCTCTTGGTGAAGTTTTGCTAAACTTTGTCAAGCAGCGTCCTCTACCTTAGGGCTGGAGCCATCCCTTGTGCCGTGGTCTGTAACAAATGCCTATGATCTCTGAGGCTCTCAGAGGTCAAGCCCACTGCCCAATCCACAGGATCCTTAGGTGACAATCAGCTTGGACTGACTCCAGAGCCACACACACACACACACACACACACATACACACAGCCTTTTCTGAGCCCACCGTCCCCTCCAGGTCTCTCTGTAGCCTGTGTTTCAGACCTCTGCTGTGAGGAACCTCTCAATGGGCTTCCTTTCATTTTTCTCGTCCCTTGCTTGGTCTCCAGCTCTCTTAAACATCATTTGCTTCTGACTGACAAACAGCTAGGCAAGGGTGGTCTAGTTCCCAGTATTCCTCCCAGTGAGAAGGACAAGGGTCAGGTTCCTTCCTCTTACTTGGTGCATTTTCCATCCAGGAGGAAGTAGCCGTGGAGACAGCTCTCACATTTGTCCCCATAGCTGTTATTCTGGCAATTCACACACACGGCGTCATCTTCACTTGGACCTTCTGTCACCCAGTTTTCAATCTGATCAAGCAAGGACATAGAAAGACATGGCCCAGCCCTCCTCCCTCAGACCCAGGGTACAGGCCCCAGCCCTCCTCCCTCAGACCAGGGGTCCAGGCCCAGCCTCCTCCCTCAGACCAGGGGTCCAGCCCAGCCCTCCTCCCTCAGACTCAGGTGTGTAGACTTCATTCCCTTACCTCCTCTGGATCCAGTGAGTACTTCTCTGGCTCCCTTCTGGCCATTTCTAGCTCTTTCCTGGAGACGCACACATGGCTGTTCCCTCGACAGAAGGCATGGCAGGGCCGGCAGGGCCCGCCCCCCAAAGCTGAACCCACAAATAGTGGGAGGCACTGCTCACAGTGGCTTTCCTGGGAACACAGGACAGTGCCATCAAAAGGGCTGGGGAGACACAGGGCCAGGCACCTTGTCTGGCCCCTCCCAGCTGGGCTGCAATTTAGCCCCCACTTCACTCACTTACCCCACTTTAGTCCTGAGTTACAAAGCCTTCCACACACCCACCTCCCCTGCCCCATTCTGCCCACTACCACACTGTCCCCCGAATCTTTTCATATCTGCCCAGAATAGCGCTCTCCTACCCCTTCCTTGCCCATGGCTTCTCAGGACTGGAAACAAACCTCAAGATGCCTCAGCACAAGGGCTGAGTAGGGCTTCAGAGCCCCTGCCTAGAATCCCCCAGTGAGGGGCTGGGGGCGTGGCTCAGTGGTGGAGCCCCTGCCTAGAATCCCCCAGTGAGGGGTTGGGGGCGTGGCTCAGTGGTAGAGCCCCTGCCTAGCATGTCAAACACCCTGGGTTCCACTCCCAGCACCACCAAATTATACTTTAAAAATCAATAAAGGCCATTTCTACACATAGGCCGAGAGGCTTGGTCCCCAGGCCAGGGTCTGCGGTGC